ACAGATAGCTTTCCATTATGTTCAAGTAAATCTTCCTCGTGACATATAAATGCACAGGCTGTTCGCATATCTTTTAGAGATTTTAATTGCATTTATAGAAATATTTTACCTAATATTTTCGTGTTTTTAATGTTCTGCTTGATAACCCTTATTCTTCTTTGTTTTTCTAAACCGTAATTTCCAATACAATAAAATTTTTTGTAGCATCGGAAAAGATAGTTTATCCCATTCCTCTTGAACGACTTTCCAAAGTCTAAGGAGGGTTGTAAGTCGACGTTTGGACAATCCGCTTTTTAAAAGTCCAAAAGAGCAAAATGTTGATACATTAGGACATTTACTAGGAATACGAATGAAGGGTATGTATGGTCTTGATACCCATTTGTTGTTCCAATTTTTCCAAGAAATTAGCAGTTGATTAGGACCTATAGCTGTTGCTTTATCTTGATGCAATTCTAGAGATTGATGGCTCTGTGGGTAAAGAGAAGGTACTTCATATTTGAAAACTGTGTATAAAATATGTTTTTGGTTATATGTAGAGTTTATCTTAACATTTGTCTCCGGTCTCTTTATTTTTAATTTGCGGTTATATAAAAAATCAGAAACAATCATAAATCCTTTTGAAACATTTTTTGTTAGATTACTTGAACTATGTTTTAACATTTTTTTCTCCTCGTTGATAATAATAAATGGCTCACTTCTTATTGCAGTCATTTAAATACACCCAATATTCATCTATTGTGACAAAAATTGTCCACTTTTGTCCGCATAAGAATTTTGCAGTGCACTCTGCGTTTGTCGGTATGTAGTGGAGAGAGACGATGCACATTATGTTTTTTGCCGTTTGAAAATTAAAATCAGCATTAATCATTTTATTTACCGTTGACCTGAGTATTCTAATGATTTTGAAACTGCCCTTTGACTTAAAGGATTTTCCTTTAATGTTAAAAATGTTACTTTTCCAACATTCGAAACATTCCGTTTTTCGTTACATATGTATTGGAAACAAATTTTGCACTTGAAATCAAACTTAAAACATTTTTTCTTTCTTGTTGAGAATATTACGTACCGTCGTCGTTTCAGATATCAAAAACCATAGCTCTCCCAGAGTTTTATAATAACTAGTTACGAACAATTTTCTTGGAAAAGAGTACAAGCGTAACCTTCCATCCATTGCTTCTTTAAAAATGCGATTTTGCATGAAAACAAAACTATCAGCTCATACTTTTAAAAATATAGTTACAGTTTAAAATTTCTAAATAAGTCGATAAATATTACTTAGACGTATGATTTTTCTAGAAATTGGTTGAAGAGGGTATAATTTTGTATATTTTTCCACTTTTGTATAAATTTTCCAGTTTTGTCCGCATAAGAATTTTGCAGTCAAAATCGCAAAATCGTCTAAAAATGTGCGAACTGCCTCTATTAACAATATCAGAAAAATATGAACACATCAAGAATTTTTGAAATTTGTAAAATAATCTTATTGAATTTGCCTTCATTTCAACGATGGAATTGGATATTGGTTGTCTAGGTTATTTCCTATGAACCAAATATGTTTTACGTAATTGTGAATGACCCTCAACAGTCTCCGCTTCTCGTTCCAAACGATCTTTTAATTTCGGTTTTTTATACTATCACTATCTGTTTTTCAGTTTTGTTAAAAGACTTTCCTAGCATTATTATTGTAAGTAGCTTTTGTTTAGTTTTTAATATTTGGTCAAATATATGTCCATTTGTAATTTTTTACATTACTTTTACATCTGATACGTCACAGATATCGATTCAGTGGGTTCACCGAACGTCCATTCACATAACAACAATTTATTCATAATATTTTTATACATTCTACACTAGTCACGGTATCCACAGCCTGCAGGAATATCAGAATCGTTGCCTTTTAATCCAAATATAGAAGTTACTTAAATACCTCAAGTTTCCAAAGTATTTATGCAATGTTTATAATTAACTGATATTAAACAGAAAGTAATAAAAAACAATTAGAGTTTTGCCTTTTGAAACATTAGTAAGAAGCTTGTTCTAAATATGCCATATCTCCATATCCAACGTATACCAAATTAGAGACTGCCCTGGCAGTCTCTAATTTGGACTGCACATAGGTACACTGAAATACACTTTCTACTTTAAAGGTAATTAGAAATTACAACAGTTTTGACATTTAAAATATTAAAATGCTTGCTGGAAGATTTTTTTCATATCCAGCATTAATTACTGGGGATTGTCAAAAAATGTAAGTTTACTCGTAAGTGTTTTCAAATACAGTTTTGCTAAATAAAATTTAAAAAAAGAGATGTTGGACTCAATATATTTTACCAAATTCCAACAAAAAAGCAGTACGTTGCTTTTTCATAAATTTAAAAATAAAATCTAAATACATCTGATAATAATAGGGTTACCGGAAAGTAATGTCGCTTTCTTACATTAAATTCAAACGAATAAATTTGTAACAAGTTTTAATTTTATTCAATAATATAATAAACCTCTTTATTAGCAACCTTTCTCCATTTAGTATGCCGATTTCAATCCCAGACCGATAAAAATCGATTGGCGTTTGAGTAAAATATCTCGAGATGGCATTTTGGACATCATTCAAATTTTCAAATTTTTTGTCACTAAGAAAATGTTGTAGGGATCGGAATAAATGGAAATCCGAGGGTGCGATATCGGGCGAATATGGTGGTTGAGGTAGTACTTCCCACCCCAATTCATTATATTTTTCCAGTGTTCGTCTTGCACAGTGCGGTCTTGCATTGTCGTATTGCAGAATGACGCCTTTTCCGTTGACAATCGCCGTATTATTTTTCGATTAAAGATTGATTCACTAGATCCAATTATTCACAATAAAGGTCTACATTAACAGTTTTTCAAGGTTTCAGCAATTCAAATTGAACAATTCCGCGAACACTCCATCAAACCCCAGTAGCGCCTTTTCGGGATGTAAACCCTTCGTAACCCCTATTAAAACTGCCATTTGAGTTTTAGATTATCATATAGGACTTATTTTTTTGTCTGCACGAATCAAACGATCAAAACAAGGTTCTATATGGTGCCCGTTGTAGCAATACGTTGCATGTGATGGATAGGTTGGCTTTGTTCTTTCCGGATATATTGTGGGGGACTTAAACACCTGCTTTGCTTATTTTTCCATTCTGCTTTAAATGTTCTTGGATGGTCGACCGAGGTTGGTTAAGAGCGTTTGACATGGATTTGCTTCCTTTTCTGCCCTTAACATGATGTTGTCGACATGCGCAGAAGCGACATTACTTTCCGGTCCTCCTATTATTAAAATAAAAACTCCCATGACTCTAAAATAACCAAAGTAAGCATGAAATTTCGATGACAAACACAACACTGTAATTTATTCTTTTTATCTAATTAGATCTTTTGTTTAAACTGCGTGGACATGTAAAATTTACGTGACTTCATTTTAAACATGATTTTTAATTATGCCGCGTAAAATATTTTAAGTCCCGCACTTTATGTCTTTTTGAATCAGTCATTTATCATCTCCCGTTACTAATACACTTACGAAATTTTTTTAATTTTTTAAATACAGATTAAATAAGGAACAATTTACACCCATAAACATTTTGTAAACGACTGAATAAAACTGGTTCCATTTTTGGAATAATGCATACATACCGGTTAGAAAAACTTTTTGCACTGTTTTATTCCAGAATTGCATATATAATTAATTTATTTAGTAAATACACTTAGACGTGAAATCAAATAGGAATAAAAATAACTTTTATAAGTATGTATGAACTATATCAATATTACCTTAGCAATATTAACATTATTAGTTATATAAAAACTAATGAAGTAAGAGAGTATATTCAAATAACTATAAATTAAAATAATTAATTTCTAAATCAAAGGAATATTGAAGAAATATCTTAAAATTTCTTAACCTAAGATATAATAATGCAAAATATTAATTTAATTTCAATAAATTCCTTACAGAAAGATTCTTTGATTTTTTTCTTCATAATAGAAATGGAAAGGTAAAGAGTTAGTGCTAAAATAATCGTATTAATCAAATTATGTTAAACTAAATAATCGATATATAAGTAATTTTATAAGCGAGTGCACTTCAGTTGAAAGTTGAAGATTTAAGCTGATTCTGGACATCAGATATTGTCAATAAAAAGAAATTTTTACATATATATTTTAAACATATAACACTGCATTCATCATTCTTAAGAATACCATGCAAAAATGATAACACTTACGCTATAATTATAAGAAAAGCGACAGGAAAGATTGACACAGCATTTGAGTTTACATCAATTTTTAAAACCCCAATACTTTCTTTCAGATTTAAAAATAAAAACATTTCTTAAAGATTATCTAATAGCATTCGTTACCTCTTTAATTAGCTTTTATTAAATATTTAAAAACATACCGATTCTGAACGTAAAAATTAAGCGAATTAAAATTGATATCTTCATAGAATTAGTCTTTTAAGTAATTAACAATGTCTCAAGTGTTATGTATATGATGGGCATAGTTCAAATTTACTATCGCAAATTACCATTTAAAATCCTTATTTGTTTAATTAACAAGTTATTGTGAGAGATCAGAAGAATATTTTAAAATTTAATTAAATGGGATAAAATTAAAATTTAATTAAATGAGATAAAAATGCTTAAGAGTAATCGTCGAATAAATCTGGCTAGCTTATTTGTCGACATTTGAAGAGAATACATTAAAGTTTAATGTTTAGCTATTATTAAAGTTCAATTGCAGTTAAGCGAAGATTAAAATGTCTTTTATCTCATTGCTAAACTACTCAACTTTAGATAATTGCTTGTAACTGATTTAAAAGTCAAATGCTATGCCGGAGGAAATTTAAGGAAGTAAGACAGAACAGAGAAAGAAGAGAGAAAGAGATAGAGCTTGGGGAATAAGAGTGCGGGTTTGATTGTAAGCTTGGGGGATAAGAGTGCGGGTTTGTTTTGGTTGCATAGATACGAGCGCACCTATGATGGAGACTGCATCTGAAGAAGGAGGCAAGGTTTCCGTCACGAGCATTTGGAACACACTCAGAGACAAGAGGATTGTAACACCTGAAACGATCAGCAGATCTCTTCAGAAGCTTCTTTACAAACAAAAACATTCACAACAAGCAACACTACGACCGTCTGGATTCCACTGGAATTCAACTGGATTGATTGCTTTAAGGGAGAGAAGTTCGCATCCTTTCCTCGTGGAATCGTTTCAGCTGAGAGCAGTTTTTCCCTCGACAGCTCAACAAATGTACATAAAATTGAATATATTAATAGTATTCTTCTTTGATTATCTTTAAAAATTATTTTTCTTAATTGCAATATAAGATATTTCCTTATTTAAACGAAATTATTATACACGTCCTACAATGATTTGTCTAGACCGCATGAAAAGCGTCCTATTCAGAGTTTTGTATTATTATTAGGATTTTGTCTATTTAATATCAGCGTTATGTATAGCATAGCGTTAGCTTTACGAACAGTGTAATAAAAACTCTGTATTAGAGTACTGTTCTCTGTTACCTTTCGTACATTAAAAAAATATATTATGCAATTTTTTTTTCAGACAACTAAGCAGATGTAAACAAAATTATAAATATTGATCCTCTTTGATTACTTTCAAAATTGCAAATGTAAGATATTTTCCTGTTTGTGCAGAATTATTATGCACTTTTTACTGTGATTGTCCTAGACTGCATGAAAAGCGTCCTATTTAGAATTTTGTATTATCAGTGGGGGAAGGATTTTGTTTACTTAATGTTACTGCTACGTACATTGTAGCGTTAGATATATGAACAGTGAAACAAAAGACAGGGTAACAGAGAATTGTTACTGTTAATTTTCGTGTATCTTCTTTGATTATTTTCCAAAATTCATTCTCTTAATTTCGAATGTGGAATATTTTCCTATTTGGACAGAATTATTGTACTCTTTCTATAATACGTAATTTGTTTTGACCTAATGAAAGGTGTCCTCTTTAAAATTTTATATTATTATTAAACTGGTTTTTGCTTACTTATGTTACCTTTATGTATAATACAGCTTTTGATTTATGAACACAATGAATTAAAATATTACATACTGTTACTCTTCGCATATTTTAGAAAAAAAATAGATTCTGATTATTCATGAATTACCGAAGGAAGAACTGCGTTTATCAGTTAAAATGCATCAAATGCGATTTACATTTACTTTATGCATATTGGTTTCAGAAATTTTAACATTCTAAATATTCATTACATTTCTGACTACTTGATAAAGAACATCAAGTTATCGAAAACGTTTTTCTGTGTACGTATGAAACTTTCACATTTAAGAACAGGAGTGGAAATTTTCAATGCAAATTTTATGTCTTTGTGCTACATGCCGTAAAATAAAAGCAGCTAGATTTGAAAACAGTATTAAAATATTCATGAGGCTATTCCTTCCCGTTTATAATTGATATAATGTACAGCACAAATTATAAATATTAAACAATATACTGGGAATTCGATTTTGCTGTATTTCGAGCTAATTTGCTTTTAAATGGGAACACAAAAAAATATTGCCATTGAAAGCATTCCATTATTTTAAAGTTAAAAATATTCAAAGACTGATTTTTGCTGATCATTTGAAAAGTTAAATCTAAAAAAAAAAAAAAAAGCACAGCCTATGCTAAACTGATTTCTTCGGAGTATATATAAAATTATAGTGATGAAAAGCATCAACGAATAATGCAGACCAAGTATAAATAATATTATTTATAAATTTTATTATATTATATTTATAAAATTTCAGGAACTATTACATTATATCAAAATTTTGCTCACTGAGATAATATAACTCAGTTAATGGTGGAATATTTAATTTATTTAACTTGAGGTAAGGAGAGATTTCTTTCATTTTAAAGTTCATTGTAAATGGCCATAATACATTTGAAAACCATCAGTCTGTATTAATTGATTTTTTTCCTTTTATGAAATTGTATTTACTAAAATTAACTACAGTTACAACTCGTAGGTAAAGAACAAGAGTAGGATTACGATTTTCTAATGAATGATTTAGTATTTTCTAATGAATCGATTATATCTTCTGATTACGCGCCACTAAATTCCTTATGCAGTTAGGCTTTCTTGTGCAGCATTAAACAAAGATGCTTACGAAATATGATACTTTTAACTTTTAGTTTTATCATAATGCGGGCAGGATAATTCTTCCTTTATTAATTATTTTAAATATCTCTATTAAAGTTTGAGATTAACGTTCAAAGCATTTTTACATCAGTAATATATGCATTGTACTTTCAGTAATTTACATAACCTATTTAAAAATGAACATACAAGGATTATGAGATTTATTCTGCAATAAAGAATATTTATTGAAGAATAAAACTCATTAGATATTTTACTGCCATTAGATTTTTTTTACTTTTTATAAGGAAATAATTAATGCATTTGCTGAATCACTATATACACTTTTTCTTTTAAACTTGCTATTTAACGAAATATTTGCTATATTTAGGCTATTTTGAAAAGAAGAGCTCTTTTTAAGTAGAATAGTTTAGAAAAACACGTTTTCTGTTATAACGAGTTTTTATAACATTTAAAAGAAAAAAATATTATAATTTCCTTCGACTCGCCTTGTCATTTCTTTAGGTAAGATGCGCTCAACTAAAGTTTTACATTTGTAAGCTATGTGAGGAATGAACTTTTGACATATTCCAGTGCAATCCAGAAGATCTCTGGAAATGAAACTACAAATGCCTCCATGTGCAGAAATTCATGTACAACAGCGTGCCAAAAAAACTACACCAAATACGGATCATGACAACGTGCAGGGAAGTAGTGTGTTTAATTTTTGCCAATTTTTTGGGTTCGCACCTATGATTGAGACTGCGTCAGAGGTTGGTGGCATCGTTTCAGCTAACTGTAGAAGAAAGACGGTCAAGGACAGAAGAATCGTGACACCTGAAGGAATTGGAAATCAAGTTACAAGTTATTAGTATTCATCATTTTTAAAACCCTGCTTTCATTAATGATGTATGAGGAGTATTTGGTATATTAAGCAAAAATTTCAGACTTTGTCTTAAAGAAATGGAACTGAAACTACTCCGTACTTTCATAAGCACAGATACAGTAGACGTCGCTTAATGTGATCACGATTAATGCACATTGTTTTGGCGAAATCTGATACTTTTGTATAAATAACTTGGTTAATATGTTCAAAATATTATAGAATTTTTTTTCTTTTAAACTGAAGTAAAGTCTCCAAATAAGTTAAAAATGCATTATAAAAATATTGGCAAGTAACAGAGAATTGTCGCTATACAATGGATTAAGTTGCCAAATATTTTGGTTTCAATTTTAGTCAGCCATTAAAATTAGAATTTAGAAAAGGGGGGAGAAGGCTTAGTTTCATGCATATTTTGAATAATTTTATCGATTTTGAGGAGATCAGACACAGATCTTTCTTCACCAGGAGCATGAAAAGTTGCAGGAGTTTTTCCCCTGAAAACGTCTATGCCAAATCAAAATTGCTTAAATTTAAATTTTAAAATGGCAAGTTTGCTTGCAGTCAGAGATGACTTCTGAGTATCAATATTAGATGTACAGCATCAGTCAAATAGTTTCTAAAAATGTTATGTGCAGTTCCTAAACAAACTTTTGCATTTTTGTAGTTAAGATGCTGTAAAAATGTATTTATATATTTCTAGTTATATTTATATTAAATTACCTAAATTCCATAGATATTTAACGAATATGTTTCCTTAGTGCTTAATGCTATCAAAATAGCCATAGGAGAAAATGATTACATTAAGAGACGCCTACATTAATTAAGATGCAAAAGCATCCTTTCATCAATGGTGAAACTACCAAAGTGATCACTGGTATCGTATTTAAAATTGATAGATATTTTTTTTTGTAGATGAGCGTTTTTTCCCTGTACTTATTTGACAGAATATATCATCAAAACATTTTAATGCAAGAACGTAATTACGTTGCTAGGTTTAAAAATTTATATCCGAAATTAAATTTATGGCTACAAATTCTTCCACTGTTAAATCTGTATTCTTATTTGTAAAATAGTCCTCATACACATACATTACAAACATATCTAATGTTATACGTTACTTTCAATGCACTTGACACACATATATACGTATAAAACGTTAAATAAATACTGAAAAATTTATTGAATTTAAAACATTTGTAGATTCAAATCCAGAATATGCATCTGATAGAAAAATTTAATTAAGTCAAAATATGAAAATACAGTTTAGTAAAACTTTATATACATCTTGGAAAATATATATATCAAATAGAACACATTTCAATTTTTACAATGCATGAAAGAACTGTGAAATATATCATGAATATTGATGCATTAATCCTTCTTATTTCATGAATGAAATTATAATAATTAATAGAACTTTTTCTCTAAACTTATAAGATCCACCGATAATACCAGACTAGAATCTTTTGAAATACTACAGGAAATTTGGAAATGTAAAATGTAGACAAATTAAAAGGGACAAAACTATTTTTAAATATGTTTACAAAGGTGTATTTACAATTTTATATTTATTATGCTTTTTAAAAGAAACAGTAACTCATTTTCCTTATTTACTCTCACATATATTTAGATACATATATGATGATTTTTAAAACAGTTCAAGTAATTTCTTTTTTATTTGTGATTACTTTGGAGTCGCTGGAAAGTTCAAAAAGAGTACATTTAAAAAAATAATCTCCTTTAGGTTTAGCGTTTAAATTACAATTTTAAGAAAGTTTCTTTTCCTTAAAATGGTCTCGTATTTCGTTTTTATGCTTATAGTAAAACTATGCGTTCTTCCATCCCATGTTTAAAAGCAATACCGTTATTTAGCAGCGATTATATTAAAGGATTTTAAGTAACTTTAAAAATTAATGAAACTTTCATCTGAATAACATTTTAAGCTTTCAGCTGCTGTTTTCTAATCAAAACGTTAACTGTTAATAGAAATAAAAATGAATGATGGAAGTATATTATTATTGAAGTTAAAAGTAATTGAAGAAATTAAAAAATGAAGTTTTTGATATAACGGTATACTAAAATTAGATTTTTAGAGACGACATTATTAACAGCAATCATAAAAGTATTATCAGAGAAAGATTTTAAAGAATTAACACAGTATGAGAAAGCATATCAGAAACAAACCGAGGGTTAGTTTTTCTCCCGAATCCGGTGGCAGGGTGAAGCCTAGAAGGGTCATGGAGGAGATGAGAACACAGGGGATGATGAGATTAAATCCATAGTAGAGGGTTCGCCTCCGTATATGGATCGTAAAGGTGATGTCAACGTAAGGCTCCGGACAACACGCATAAAAAATCTCGTTTCTCACTCCTGGAAGGCCTAAAATAAAAATAATTATTTAAATTTATAATATCAAGAAGTGTGCTATTTATAAATTAATTACTTCAAATTACAAGCAAGCTTAAAACTTAAGGATAAATATGACGTAGAACTACCGCTGTAGACAAAAATGAATTAATTTGTTGAGATTTGCGTAGCTAAGTGCATTGTGTAAAAATGATAAACATGCAGATTATCTAATTATTTGTCACATGGTGACTCGAAAGCGTTTGAGAAGGAAATTACAGTTATCAACTAGCTGCGTTTGTCAGAAATTATAATTGTAAAAAATATGTATACAAAAAAAATTGAAATCTTCATCATCTCTGACATGATCTCAGTAATTTTACACAAGGAAGGATTACAGAAAATTGGAGGAACGTCTCGCATTCCCAAAGTTTCAGCGAAATTTAAATTCGCACAAAGAGTGTATTATAATTCAATAATGAGAATTATTGGAGTCTCTGGAGCTGTCTTCTGTAATACTGGCGAGTAAATTGCGTTTTGATACTTCATCAAGTGCAATCATCAGTCACTCCAAATCCACGAACCCGAAGGCAGCAATATCAATATGTACTAGAATTCGATAAATGCAAAGTAATTGCAAGAAACTATACATTGCTATATTTGAAACGAAGTGTTGTTTCGATGAAAAAAGCTTTAGAAATATAAGTGAAATTGTAATAATTTTGTTAGCAAAAATTTATGTCATTCAAAAAGTAAGAGGGTTTTTGAAAAAATGTTTTATTTAAAGTCTAAGTACAAAACATATTTAAAAAACCTAGAACGTGCAAATCGATAAAAGAGAATAGCAGTAGATAATAAATAAATTATTTTAAAGAGACAAATATATTTCTTATTTTTCATTATGCAGATCTTTTGTTAGAAATTGGATTTTCCTTGTCATATACTGCAGACGTTTTTTCATAGAAGCAGCTATTTTAATATGATTTTTATTTTTTAATATTCTATGCTCATTTTTTAAAGAAATATTTCAGATGGTTTGAGACAGAAAGAAGTGAAGAGTCTATTGATTGAATTTGACAAGCACCCCATGGATTTCAGTTTTTCTGCCTTTTAAATCAAGCAGCGGAAATTTTACTTCCTTTTTATTCATGAAGAACTGAATGTTTCTCGTTCATATTAAATTCAAAAGAATAATATACTAGTGACTAAATATAAGAATAAAAGAGAAAGAATAAGTTCTATCTGAAGAAGAATTGAATATTTTATTTTGAGAAAAATTATTTCAAACATCTGCCAGTCTTTTATAATAAATAAATTTAAGCACTAGAACAGCTTTTTATAATTATTTAAGTAACACGTAAGTCTAAGTGCAAAGTTTTTTTCATTATTTATCACAATTAAAAATTATTAATGTTTTCCGTCGCATTAAATCTTTTAAGTATTGTGAGCTATGCTATAGAAGACATTAATGGACTCGAGTTTTACTGAAAACAAAAATCATTTCCCGCAGCTACGATTTCATTAAATCATCTAAGTAATAACGGTGAAAGGAAATGCGAATATTTCTGCAAACCTTGTAACAGAAAAATTATTTTTTTCATCTAGAATATGAATATGGAAATTTGATATGGAATATCTAATGATATGGAAACTCTTGATATGGAAATTTCCATATTTAGCCACAAGAAAATCTTTAAAAATACCATTTATATATAAGCTACATTTTTTGAACTTTCACCTCTTAGTCATTTCAAATTTTGTAGGCTGATACGTTACGTTGCGCCACGGTGTTCATGAGATCTGAAAAATAGCTATTTATCAGAATATTGCCATTTGGCATCACATGAGGTATTTTATTATCTTTCAGATTTTAGTTGCATTACTTAATAAACTTAACTATTTACAAGTACAAATTCACTTTTTTAGAATTTAAATCACTATTTTAGTTTTAATGATGCATCTAAATGATAATTAAGGCTATTGTTAATATACTTCAATTAATCTAATACCATATCATACACTTATCTTAGAACAGAATCCTTTGATTTATTGCTGCTGCTTAGCTGCAACGATATTTTTGGTTAGAATATTTATAACTTCTATACTTGAACTATGCTTGAAGCATATTTACTTACAGGTCACTTTCAAAATCTCGGCCAGTTATTATTCACATTACAATTAATTTTCTCAAATTTCTTATTAAAACTGAACTAACTTTACTTAGCTAATTCTGGTGGGTTAAAATTGTAGGCAAAACTTTATAAGTAAAGGATCAATCATTTATCAACAATTAGTTGAAATTAAGCGTAACTGTTTGTAAAGCTTAAAACAGTTGCCACATGTTATTAGAGTACGAATTTATATCTTTTTACTTGATTTATGATAATTTTAACGTTGTGGGTTTACGTAAATGATATCTCGTGAAGTACCTCAGCTCAGTACAGAGACATGTCGATGATGTGTTGTCTCGTTACACATTTTATTAAAAAAGATAAAACACGTTTTTTTTAGAGGATGAAAGGCATTGTACGTGCTAGTTTCTTCCTTAATGGAATCCGTTTTAAAGGAAAAGTAGTTTATGAGAAACGCTTGTGCCTAGTTCACAATATCGCGGATTATTGCAAAGCTATTGAAAGTCCGCGACGCAGAAATACTGCTCTAAAAGCACTTGGTAACTTTCAAGGAAAGAATAGAAAGTTTCAGTTTCTCAAGATAGTAATACAATCTGTAGCTTCTACAGAATAAATAAACTAAGTGGTACAAGGTGAAAAATATTACGATGACTAACTGGAAAAGTCAACAATAAAAATGTGGTAATTTTTAAAGCTGTTTTTAAGAAACAGATGGAGCAAAAAATTAAAAAATTTTAAATATTCCCTTTACTAATGCTTTGTAAGTTTAAATTATTCTTTTTTTGAATGAAATAATATTGTACTTATTATACGTATTTGTAGCGCTATATGGTGAGAGACGATATACAATCGGAAGAATACAGAAAAAAAGGGAAAGCTATAGCGAAAAGGGAGAGTTCTAAAAGAAAGGAAAAAATCACCTAACTTCTAATACATCTCTGAGTGATTTTACAACAATAGCATTCAGTATTCCGCAGATAAAGTGCTTCAAATGCTACAAATTTGAGAAATATAAAAGAAAATATAATTTTTTAGCGGAATACTTTTAGGCAGAAACTAATGTTTTAGCAGAATTTATTTAAATAAACAAAAACTTCTGAAGAGTTCTTAACTGAAATGGAAATTTGCAAATAACTATGGAATACCTCGCAACTCTTGAAATCTTGCATCATATTTAAAATTCGATCATATATCATACAATGCGATGTAGATACATTTAAATAAATAATCACGAACCATAGAGTTAAGTTCACAGGTATTGGCAAAATAACTTTAAATGTAACGCTATTTCCTTAGCTCTATTTCTTTTATACAAAGCATCATTGCGAGTGATGTACTTTTATTACTCTTTGTTGTATTTGGCCTGAATCGGTGTTGCAATCTAATATTATATATTTATATATTTGTAGAGCTATAATACCATCATATTCTAAATTAGTAACATATTTTGTGCGATCAAAATTTAATGTACGTAGGGCATCCAGAAAGTAAGAAGAAATCCAGAAAGTTTATCCAGAAAGTTTCCCTATTTAAAAAAAAAGAACTCACACTTTCAGGAACATATTTAATGGCAACACGTACAGCAATGTTTCAGCTATACTTCAACATAACCACCAGAATTGAGGCACTTGTATCGTGGGATCAACTTTTGTATCCCTCTGCCGTAGAACTCTGACGCCTGTGAATGGAACCAGCGTGTGACAGACGTCTTCAGCTCTTCGTCGTTGCCAAAACGCTCATCGGAGGATAGGAATTTCTTGAGGTGCAAGAAAACGTGAAACTCGCTGGGAGCAAGATCAGGGCTGTAGGGTGGATGATCAAACAACCTCTAGCCAAATTCCGCCAAAACAGCTGCTATGTGTCTAGCGGTATGTGTCTAGCGAGCATTGTCATGGAGGAGCACAATACCTGCAGTAAGCATTCCACGCCTCTTATTTTGAATGGCACATCGCAATTTCCGCAGTGTTTCACAGTAACGGTAAGCGTTTACTGTTTCACCATGTAGAAGAAACTCAATGAGCAGAATGATGCCTTCATGTCCCAGAACACCGTGCACATCACTTTCCGTACCGACAGCGTTTGTTGAATTTCGCACTGACCAGAGATTCACTATGCCGCAATGCATTGACTGCTTCTTGGTTTTCGGGGTGAAGTGCGAAATCCAAGTCTCATCGCCCATGACGATCCTGTCGAGGAACTCGTCGCTGTCATCGTGATACCGTTGCAGAAATGTCAGGCTGCTCCTAAACATTCAATTTTGTGTTCGGATGTCAGGCTTTTCGGCACCCACCTGGCACACAATTTTTTGAACACCAGGTGCTTAGTGACAATCTCATGCAACAAGGATCGCGATATCTGCAGAAAATGGCTGCTCAGCTCCGTAATCTTGAAGCGAAGTTTCTTCATCATGCTCTGCCGCAAGCTCAACAAGATCATCATTGATGAGGGACGGTCGGCCACTGCGCTCTTTATAATGGACACCTTGAAGACCTCTCGAAAACTGCCTACAGCAGCGACGCACCATCTCTTTACTCATAATGTTGGGCCCATAGACCTGACAGAGCTGACGATGAATTTCAATCGTCGCAATGCTTTATGAATTCAAGAACTTTATCACCGACCGAACCTCGCAGGCGGCGGGAGAAGGAATAATAGCTTCCATTTCGGACCAATGGCTACCACGCTAGTGGCACGAGGCGGGACCTGCCCTGCTGGCATATGATTGATACGTCATAGATCTATTACGCATGCGCAATTGACACGGGTAATTACACGTTTACGTTAAAAGGGAAAACACCGGGAAACTTACTTTCTCGATGTGCCTCGTATCATAATATGTTTACATCATTCCATACCTGTGTTTCCATACACAATATGTTTATATCATTGATTACACCATTG